TGGGGGCGGCCCGCGGCCGGGGAGGGGAGGAGTGCCGGGGGGCGCCAGCCGCGCCCCAGCCGGGACGTCCCTTCCTTCCGCCCTCCCACACTCAGCCTCTGCGTGGCCCACCTCCTCTCCACTAGCGGAGCACGGCCTGGGGTTCCCGCTGCCGGCCCCCCCGAAACACACACATGTCCCACCTCGCTCCGAGGCTGCGGGGGCGCCTAACCTCCTCTCCACGAGCTCGGAGCGCAGCGGGAGGGGGGGGCCCCGGCCTCCCAGGGGCTGCGGGAGGGGGTGCTACCGCACTCCTCTGCACTAGCTCAGCGCGCGGCAGGAGGAGACCTCCCACCCTTTACTGCCCCCTACCCAGAGGACTGCAGGAACTTCCTCCTTTTCACCAACTGGGAGCGCGAAGGAGGGGTTCTCTTCCCCTCCCCCCTTAGCTGGTAGGGGTTTCCCACCCTCCTGCCCTCAGCGCAGGGAGGGTGGGGTGCCCACGCTCCTCCCCACTCCCACTGAGGGCAGGGGACTTCCCAGCGGGGGGCGGAGAGGCGCTGGGGCGCGAGGAGTCCCCTTAGCGGAGAACTGCCCCAAATGCGCAATGGAGGCGCGAGGCGGGTATGCCTGAGTGCTGTACCCCGCCACGTCCTTGGGTAGGCAGCCTCGCTTGCACCCTATACGGTCAGCTTGTCACACTTTGGGGGTGCCCAGTGGGCCACGGTGTTGTTTATCGGAGGTTCAGGGGGCGCCCTCTGGCCCGCACGGGCCTGGCGGGGACGGCAGCGAGGGCGCGCCCGGATTGCTGGGTGCTGGCACGGGCGGGGTCCGCTCGGAGATCGTCCCCTCCTGGGGCATAGCCACCTTGGGAGGCGCCAGAGACCGCGCTGGAGCCACGTGGGGGCAGACGCGGGCAAGGACGGTGTCCCCTCCCCATACGCCTGGGAGTCACGACCTCTGGCCCTCGCGCTGAAGGTTAGAGGAGCTCATCGGCTCTCCCCAAAGGAGCCCACTCTTCTGGAGGTTTCTTTCTATTCTAGTGCGGTCCGGCGCAAAGACCCGCAAATCCCACCTCCTCTCAAAGCCTAGGGAATCGGAGGCACGGCGACCCTCCTCTCTCACGCCGCCAGCAAACAACCCGGGGGCTCCTTCCTAAGCACTCGTGGTCCCCTCCAGTAGACCACACCTGGCACCGCCTAACCTCGGAAACCTTCCCTAACTGCCCCGCTGCCCGCCAGGGCTGTCCTGTCCCTGCGCCAGCCGGGGCGTGCGAGCTGGGACCCGTGACCGCAGTACCCAGACCTTGCTGGAAGAGGGGACCAAGAGCCTTCCGGGGGAGGCGGGTGTTTTTAGCAGCAGTTAATGCGGGCTCTGCCCCGGGGGCCAGCGAAAAGCTCAGCTCTCTACCGGCGGCGGGAGGGCTGGGCTGGGCTGGGGGTAGGGGGGTGGGGTGGGACGGAGAAGAGAGGCTGGGCTCAGGGGCGTGTCCCGAACGCCGGCTCCTGAGCCTGGGGTCCTTGCCCACCAGGCTTCACCTGGTCCCGGGCCTTCCCTCCTGCCTGAGACCTGGGGAGGGCAACAAATGAAGGAGACAATGGATGGAGAAGATCTCCCCTGAATGCTCCTGTTTACATCACAGGCTGATACTCTCCCGCCCCAGGGAGAGAATGAAACTCGATTTTATGTCGGGTTAGTTGTCTATCGCCTGCAGCTTGCCCTGTCAGCCTCCCCTCTAAAACCACCCTGACTGTAGACTGCAACCCAGGTAATGCCAAGTTCAGCCTTTGGGGCGACTCCAAACCCGCCCACCGGGCTCGGTTCTTTCTTTTGGACCGGGAATTTTAGGTTCATGGGTCCCGAGAGCGAGTTGCAATGACTGCATTGATGAACTGGACTTACAAATGGCCAGACCCTGATCTCTCCTAAGGACACGCGGTCCAGGGGCAGGCTAGACAGTTTCTGTTGTGGGGATCCTCTTTTCCTCTCTCTGTGCCCAAGGTCTTTCCGAGTTGGGCAGAGTTGTGCATTTCCAGGCTTTGGTGTTGAAGCAACATACTAATTATTCATCTTCTCTCCAATTCTTGCTGCTTCTTCACCCCTTGTTTTGATAAACATCTTCCTTCACCCACTCAAGAAAGAAGAAAAAGTAAATAATCTGTCATTTAGATTTATGGGCAAAAAGAACTGAGAGACTGTGAGAGAAAAGTAAATGTTTAATTATTTTCTTTTTCTTTCTAGTGTGGGAGTGGGGTATTCTTTTTTTTTTTTAAGATTTTATTTATTTATTTGAGAGAGGGGGGAGGGTCAGAGGGAGAAGCAGACTCCCCGCTGAGCAGGGAGCCCAATGCGGGACTCGATCCCGGGACTCCAGGATCATGACCTGAGCCGCAGGCAGTCGCCCAACCGACTGAGCCACCCAGGCGCCCCGGGAGTGGGGTATTCTTCACTACCAGTGTCTATACCATGTATAGATTCTCCATATAGTGAAGGGGGTAGTTATAAGACTTTTAGGGGACTTTGTTAAATCCAGTGGTAAAATATAATCAGAGAGACTGCAATGGAGGGAATTTTGCACTTTGACCCTTCTGACATTTTTTATCATACGTTTTTTTCACTAATTTATTCAAGACACAATATTTTTGTGCCTACCATGTGCCAGATGTCCAGAGAGGGGAATAAAAATAATAAATTAAATAACAAATTAAACAGAAAGGACTGGGCCCTCCTGAGACCCTTCTAGGAATGTCCAACGTGCTTTGAAAAGTAGGGCTACACAATACAAAACATGAGTAAAAATCAACATTCATCCCCAGCTCCTCCATTCAATTTAAATTTTACCATCACAGACAAAGATCATGGAAGGAATTGAATATGAAAATCAAGGCTAGCCAGCCTTCCCTGGGTTTTTGTTTTGTTTTGTTTTGTTTTAGTTTTGCTGCTTATTTTTATTGGGACCTCAGTCATTGCTTTATGTTTAAGAAAAAATAAAATGTGAACCAATAAAATTATTACAGCTATTCTCTAGGTGTTTTCGAATATGCTGCACCAAGTATGCTTTTTTAAAAGTTCACAACAGTTCGTACTTTGAAAGAAAAAAGAAAACAAAGTAATAACCGAGGGATGACGTGGAATTAAAAATGCCCTTTAGCACAAAGCTAGGGGCATGAAGTACAGACTCTGGCACCAAAGGGACCCCAGATCGTTGGCCAGTTCATTTCCCGTTTTTGGACAACAAGCCTGCTACACCAAGGATAGTGTGTGGAGAGTAAAGGAGTCCTCCCATAATTTTACTCCATATCAATTTATGTGTGACAAAATGCACCAAGAAACTACTGTGGAAGCTCTAACTGGGCCCCGAGGAAGTGTAAAAAAGAAAAACATTAGGAAGGAGAATTTTTTGGGGGGGGGGGAACGCTAGGGGGCAGCACTCCATCCTCAGAACCCAGCAGCAGGGCAGGCCTGAGGGTGTGTGACTCCTGCAGTTGCATGGGGGACCCCACACTTGATCTAAGGTTCTGCTGTCAACCATCTTGAAATTGTTGATGATTTTTGAAGGCGGGAGTCACGCCTTTCCATTTTGCCCTGGGCCCCGCAAATCCGAGAGCTGGTCATGCTGGTTGGTGACGCTAAACAGTGCTCCATCTCTGCTTGCACGCAGAGCCTATGGGGTGCGGGCTTGAGGACAAGCAGGCAGGCTCCTGGGGACTGCTGTCCACCTATCCCCTCCTCAGCTGATCATCTTTCACATACACTCTGACACACCGGAATCATTATAAATCTGGTAAATAATCGTGGCTGTTGAGCCAATGGCTTTTGCTTTAAAAATAACCCATCTTCTAGTCCCTATTCCAAATCTAGTTAGATTAGCTCAGTCAATAAGGATGCTGTTGTCCTCCTCCCAATGTCATAGTGCTCTGATTGATTCAATAAAGGCAGGCGAGCAAACCGTGCCAAGGACAGACACAGACGTGTGCCAACCCAGAGCATATTGTAGAGCTGAGCACAGAGTATTTCCCTGTGTATTCGTTTCTCTCTGGCAAATACATCACTAAAATTTATATAATAAAGTATGAACAGTATGTCAACAGATTCATTATCAGCATGAAATATGTTTTGTGTACCCAGATAACATTTACATTTTTATTGAACCAGAGTCTGTGAATACAGAAACCACACAACCAAAGCTAGCTTATGGCTCCTGGAAGTCTCATTAACTCCTCTAGCTCACTAAGGAACTTTTGTGCAGCTCAGTGTTTAGAGCTTCAAGAAAGTTGCTGAATGTGACATTAATATATTCGTTTTCATTCCCATATAGTGAGGCATGATCTCCACATGTCTTTGAAAGATCCTGCTTCCTTGGCTTATTTGATAAACTTTTTCTCAAGTGACAAAATGGTAATAAATAGTTCATAGAATCATCTTTAAAATCTGATTTCAGGTGATTTAGTGGGATTTATGGTCCTGAATATATGAGACAATGGTCTGTTTTGGAAGAAACCCTTCACAAATTCCTGCTGCCATTCCAAAGTTTGTTACTGGTACTTTTTCTTCAAAATCTGCTAAGACACTGGGACTC